CGTATCAAGAAAGAATAATACGATATGCGAAGCGACGCGGGCATAACCGATCAACTCAACTGTCGCCGCGTGAATGATACTGCGTACGGCGCCGTAAACACCGTAAAAACCGAGCGCGGATTCCAAGAAATGACGTAGCGCCGTGAACACCTCGGTCGAAAACAATCTATTGGAATCCGCGCTCGGTTTTTACGGTGTTTACGGCGCCGTACGCAGGGTCATTCACGCGGCGACAGTCGAGTTGATCGGTTATGCCCGCGTCGCTTCGCACATCGTATTATTCTTTCTTGATACGCGTTCGCGACAAGTGCGGGAAGAAACCGCGATCGCTCTCCGTGAATAATCAATGATCGATATCATCGTGCGATCGTTGAATTCCCGCGATTTGTGTCAGTGATTTGTGCGAGTATCAGTTCGACGATGTAATGGAACAGTTCGTATAGTGGCAACCGAACTCAGTGACAATCGGACACAGTGAAAACCGAACAAGTGGCATTTGGATACAGTGAGAGTGACAAGTGACTTTACAAACGGAAGTGTAAATTTGCGAGTGAAGTGGCATTTGGATACAGTGATAATGACAAGTGATTTTACAAACGGAAGTGTATATTCACGAGTGAAGTGGCATGTGGATACAGTGACAGTGACAAGTGACTTAACAAACGGAAGTGTATATTCGCGAGTGAAGTGGATACAGTGACAGTGAGGACAGCTGAGACAACGACACCTGAGAGGAGGACACCTGAGTGGAGGATCAGGCATCGGACGCCATTGCAGAATCAAAATCGACGGGAGTGGTGGAGGGCCTCTACAAGTTGATCTGTTTTTATTGAATAAAAGTTTACTTCAAATAAAAAAGAGAAGTATTAGTTTATTTATAACTAGAGCAATGCAAAGTTTAATTTAATCAGATTGCACTCGTATAGTATTGATTGTCCGATATAAACGGAGCAAATCTGGTATAATGTACAAAAGAATGATTAAATAATTTTCTAGTGAATATCCAGAACATTGTGTGCTACAAATTTTGCCGGCAAAAAGTATACAAGTTTGATACAAAACTTGACGCATTTAATTATACAAAAATGCTAGTAGAAATAAAGCATTCATATCAATAAAATGGGATGATTAATGACAAAAAGTCACACTTTAATTTACTTGCTATACAGTCTAATATAATTTGTCGGCCAAGTTTTATATTTAGCAGTTATACGTATAATTTATATTTCAGCATTTTACTTTTTATTCCATTGCCGTGTGGAAGTTTCATGATAAGCGCGTACATATTCAGCGTAGACATCTGCGGCATGCGAAACGAAAAAGATTGGTTTTTGGTTCGTGTCGCTACGTCGATTTTTCGCCGAGTTATAGCGTTTTAAAAATCGGGCGCGCGCGCACCATTCATCTGTGAAGGTCGCGCGAGTTTTTTGCGCGAGTAGTACGCGAGCGTACTACGTCCCCAAAAAAAACTGGCATAAAAACTCGGTAGTAAACATCGCCGCGCTAGACGCCGCATATACACGCCGTCTGCTGGCTTCATTGCCGCGCGAGACGACGCATGTGCGCGTCGTCTGCTGCTTCTGCCTTAGGTTAAGATTGCGAGTCGATATACTTAATCGTCCATATCTTCGCATAGAAAGATCGTAGCAAGATGAACTTGGTCTCGTTGGAAAGCTAAGATTTCAGCGCTTCCAATGAGATAAGAATCACTTATCTCGGATCATTAGTTTATGAGGCATTATTAATAAATTCCGAGAAAATTGATTTTATCCCAAAATCGAGAGTGTGAATTAATCTTTCGATTGGATGAATCTCTCTCACGTCGTGCATTAAATAGCAACACTAATTTATGTTCATTCAATATTCCTTTTTCTATATATACACATATGTAATTGCACAGTTTCTTGTTGATAATCCCCTCCTCGGGTACTACCTTGTTCACTAAAAAAAATGTCTGGTTGTATATGGCCGAACCAGATAATTCCTGTAGGATTTACCAGAATTTCTGTAGGATTTACCAGAATTTCTGTAGTCCTACAGAAATTCTGGTAAATCCTACAGGAATTATCTGGTTCGGCCATTTACAACCAGACATTTTTTTCAGTGTTGTGGTGGAGGGGCTTAAGTACCCCGAAGAGTTACTCTCTAAAAATCAATCAGTACATTATCACTGAATCAGTGAATATTAACTGTTTTCAGTGATAATCCATTGATTGATTTTAGAGAGTACATACTCTAAAGACGGGACAACCAAAAGTACCCATTGCACTATTTGGGCCCGATTTTTCAATTTCTAATAAACTGTTGACCACAGTTTAATCGATTCTCTGTCTCTTCTTTATAGATAATAATATAGAAAAGCATAGAGAGTCGGGTAACTTTCATATTAACAGTTAACCAGAAAATGATAAACCAGGCCTAACACTCTCTGAAAGTTAATCGGTGGATTATTACTGAAAATAACGAATCGATTCACTGTTTTCAGTGATAATCCACCGATTTACTTTTAGAGAGCACATTTATTAATTGATTTCGTTCATTTCAGCACGAACTTTCGAGGACTGACGAATAATTTCACTATTATATTTCGCCAGTTTAAACGAATCGCAACCGCGCGCGGCGATTCGTCGTGTCGCGTCGCGTTCGGGAGTGCCGTTTGTGTAATTGGACTAAAGACTTTCAAAGTGTAAAATCGCGCGAACGATCTTTGTGTTTTCGCGAGTGTGCAAAAAGACAACCTGAGTGGAGGAGGAGGCCTGGGGAAGGCATCAGGCACCGGCGAAGCAACTTTAGGGTAAATGTATTTTGCCAGCAACGAAAGAATGTGAATCGCCAGTAGTTGATTAACGATAAAAAGAATTGTTAGATGACTTTAGGCTGGCAGACGGTTTCTTTATATAAATCCGACGTTTCGACCATACGGGTTGTGGTCCTTCTCAAGGAATTCAACAATCTACAAGTTTAATTACAGGACGTTGCAACTCAAAAATGAGAATAACAGCAAGCGAAGAAGACTCAAGGATCGGGATCGAGTTTTCCTCGCGGGTCGCCGGGCTCGCATGTGTTATCTCATCTCTCTCGCTCCTATTACTGTCTTGCTTGCGCCTATTACTGTCTTGCACGCTCTTATTGCCGTCTCGCTCGCTCCTGTTACGAAAAGCCAATAACACTCTCGTGTTACCGACATTTCATGCATGCAGCATGGAACACAACCAAAATTGGGCACTGCATTACCCGCTTGTAAAATGGGCGTAGCACAGACACGCACCAAAAGTGGAGACTTTCCGTGCTTTCCAGCAAGCGACACAAGTCGACACAAATGTCGTTCTGTCTTTCTTCGCATTCAATGAATAATAAAGACAGAACGACACTTGTGTCGACTTGTGTCGCTTGTTGGAAAGCACGGATTATCGGCAGTGCTTGAAAACGGGTGTAGCGAAATAGTTCCAAAAATGAAAGCGGGCGTGAGGCGCTGGAATCAGCCGAGTGAAAACGGTATCAAGTAAAACGCCGGCGCGGCCGCTCTCAGGTTACTCTCTGGTAGATATAATTTTTCCATCCCTCTCCGCTCTCTTTCTCTCGAGATCGTTGCTAATTAAATAAATCACGGGAGCGATTACCCAGCGAGAAATTACTCGTCGATTCGACGAATCGTTTCTCACTAGGTACACATTAAAAAATGATTGCGTATACGTGTGGTTAGGCGAAGGCGAGGGAAACCATTTTATTTATAAATAAAATATTTATTTTTCTTGCTCAACGATCTAGGGAACAACATTTTAACGGATAGTACCATACAACTGCTTATTATTTATTTATATGCGATATTGTGTACTGTGTAAGGGCCGCGTCGAAACGCGGCGTTCGCGCTGGAATCAGTCGCGTAAAAATATTGCGTTTGATATGTGTGTCGGCGCCATTTCTGCGCGCAGGCTACAAAGGCCGCGGCCCGATTTTCACTGCCAGTACTGCAAAATTTATATAGTTTACGTCAAGTGCACTATGGAGTTTCAGTACTGGCAGAGAATATCGGAACGCAGCCAAACTATATGCGCGCGTACGTCGGGTATACCGGGAGTTTGCAAAGTTACCCAATATCCCGACTCCGAGCCGCGTTGCAAAAGCAGCCGTGAATGTCGCGGCGCGCTTTGATTAATCGATCGCCGATGCCTCGTTGAATCGACGCAGTTCTTCGCCGAGCATAGGTAAAGGTATACTTTTGCGCGTGAAATAAAAACCCACGACCCGCGATACTTCTATACCGTTCACGGAGCAGTGAAACGACGGTGAAAAGGCATACTTTTGCGCTAGAAATAAAGAAAACCCACGTCCCGATATCTCTAATATCGTTCACCAAAAAAAAAACTCACGAAAGACGCTGGATTCGTTAGTCTTGAAATTCCCAGTCTCCTTGAAAGATAACAAAAGTCAAACAACTCTAACGGAAATGTAAAGTGTCTAAAAACGAAGTGTCACTTTTAATCCCAGCAGGAAACGTTGCAAGATATTTTTACGAGATATCCATCCTACGCGTCGTTGATTGTTATTATAATTGCTAAGAATTGCTAAAATTTCTTGGCGAATGAATTTTGTCGATTAAATTCGTTCGTAAATACGAAAAGTTTGTCGATCGGGGATTCGCAGAACGCCGAAAAGTTGAATATTCATTTATAGTCTTATTTTTAGTTTCCTGCTGGAGTTAAAGGTCAGGAAAGAAAAAGCGTCTAGGATAAAACTAGCTGTCACGAGACAAGTATAAATAGCGATATAAATATAAATAGAGCTGCGGAATATCGTGGCTTGTATCATCCACGGCGGGTCTCCTTCCACCAAGACCGTCGCGACGTGCATTTTCCTAGAGGTGGTACGTGTCGCGACTATCGATGCGCGTACACACGCAGTGGATTTTGTATCTCGCAAGACGTATTCTTCAAAATACTATAAAACGGCGGTTCCGCGACCCACGACGACCAAGAGCCCGTCTTCATCATGCAATCGCAATCCATGGCGAGAACGGATTCTGCAAGAGAAATGTTCGCCCTCGTTTACCACAGTTTTAACTCAATCGTGATCCGTTAACTAAATCGCGAAATTGCAAAGGTTTTTGCGAGGGGTAAACCGCTGACGAAAATCATGTACCTAAACCAATGCCATACTAATGCCCAGTGGGCATTACTTTATCTTATTTTTTCTGATTTTATCTCTATAATGCCCCTGCCATGCCCAAACTAATGCCCAAAAATGCCTAGTAATGCCGCAGATCTGTAGGCCACAATGCCCTCAGCGGTTTACCCCTCGCGGTTTTTGGAGAACACCGTGAACACGTACGCGCAATATGTTTTTTCGCGTTTCTACACGGAAAGAACATGTAGCTGAAAACTGCATGTGGCGACTAAATTTCAGTTGTGAAATATGAACAGCAAATATTTAGTTGTGACAGCTAAATATTTTGCTGCTATGCCTATTGCATTGGGCGCGACAGCAAACCGTTTGCTGTTCTTTAAAATGTATAATTATGGCAGTAAAATATTTTTAGCAAACCGTGATTAGCTACGGTTGCGAACCGATTTTTCAGTCTATTTAAAAAGTATAATAAATAGACGTTTACGCTTGCGAATTAATATTATTGTCACCGTGGCATTATACTTGAAATACGTCGGATATTCTCAGGCACGGCCGAACGGTCGTACTTGACATTTCGAAAGTGCGATATGATTTACAGTATCCAGTCGCCACTGGCCGCGGACGGCGTAGAGTTACGAGCATTAATATCCCGCGTATACCTAGTTGGCCGCCGGAATCCGTATGTCATAACATGCTGCTCGGGCATCCGTGATTCATTCTGTATTCCACGTAAAGCATTCCGGTGTTGTGCCAATAATAGAGGGCCAGCACGACCAGCGCGTGCCACCATTGATGCGACGAGCCGACGTAGTCCACCCAGCCTGTAGGAAACGATCGCGTATTGTCAACGTTTATTCTCAACTGCACAATGTGCGATTATACCATTATTCAATTATTGTACGACGCAAAGCGTATCGTTGATAACGAGGGCGATAATTGCCCGCCATTTACCTGGATAAAAGCGTTCGGGTATCTTGAGCAAATAGAACGCGAATGCTATCGCGTTAATAATGTACATTCCTATCACCCGCGGGACGAGCATTTTAACGATCGGGTTATCCAAGCCGCCCATCGCGAAGGTCCAATGCAGCGTTGGCAGCACGCCATATATCGCCCAGCTCACGAATACGGCCAGCTTGATGTTGCTGTTGATGTTCAGCCTCGGTATTTGCAGTATCATCGCGAAAATGAAGATCGCGAGCACGGTCGTGAGGTAGAACCGCTGCAGGTCCTGCAAAAGATCCTCGATTTATCGATCGCATATCGACACGAACATACGCGCTTCGGTCATTTCTTTAAGCTCCTGAAACGCGAGCTATCGTAAAAGCGAGTGTATCAAAACTTTCCTCCGTACAAGCTGTGCCACGTCGCTAAAATTATAGCTAGAGAGAAATCGATGTTTTCTTCACCTTGTGACACCAAAAGGCATAGTAGACCCCCGACATGTATATCGACAGCATGCTCAGAGCGATACCGAACAAATCGAGGGACAGGAAGCACCAGTAATCTTTCTCGCTTCGACACGAGAACGTGTGATACACGGACGACAGGATCATGCATATCTAAAAAAAAAAGAGAACAAATTAATTTACTTTGTTATATTTCAACAAGAGTCTCGCGCGTGTGGAGATTTTTACCTGGAAACAAAGCAGCAACAATGACACGATCACTTTGTCACTGAACGGCGCGTGGATGTTCAGTAGACAGAGATCGTACAGGGTCAGACCAAAGAAGAGCATCCAGCCGAAGATGTGGCTCCATATGTTGACGGTCTCGTTCGTCCACCAAAATATGCTGAAACACGCGATATATATACATTTTTTTTGTGAGGAAGCACACGCGGCCCGAGTGTACGCTCGTCGTCTTCGCAGTTCGTTTGTCGCGAACGCGTCGAGGAATATTAAACTCAAACCTCTCGAGGCACAGTTTGGTGGTCAGACAGCCCCGGTAGCCGCGCAGTATGTAGGGATTGTGCTGCAGAAATTCAGGCGCGTCCTCGAACGGAAGTAAACGTCTCAGCTTCTCTTCACCCTCTGCTGCAACTTCCCTCTTGGCTGGCGAATCGCCGCATGCCTGTTTCAAGACGGCAACGTTATTCGTCATTCAACGTATCTAAACGCGTACAAGTCCAGAGAAGAATTGCTATAATTTCACATATTCGCGCAGTACTTGGTAAACTTTTATATTATCTGAATAGAGTATTCAATGCCGCATACAAAAGCCGCGGATCCTCTTTGCATTAAAGACCAACCTGAAAAGAAACGCTATTCATGCATTGAAGCATTGAATCAAGTAGAAAAAGATAACTATACATATAAATTTTATTGTATTTTTTAATATTCTCTCTCTCTCTCTCTCTCTCTCTCTCTCTCACATTCCTTTGAAATGATAACCGTATGAAAAAAATTGCGGTCTGTCTTACACAACCGGGAACGGAGTAAAATGATACTTTTTGTTTCGTGCATATAATTACATCTGAATTTCACCCTTAAGTGCATAACTCACTTACATAAGAAATTCGCGCAATGACATTCTATTGCGCTCGGAGTATTCTGAACAATACGTAGTGCTTTTGTCGCTTTCGTTCGTAAACATTCCTCGACGAAGTAAACTCACCGCGGCGACAATGGCACGGTGTGACTTACGATGAATTCTCGTTTTTAATTAGACGCAATTATGTGCCAGAAAGAGAAAGCGCCGTCCACGTTAAGCAAAATTGAAATTTACGTGGCATAAAACTTATCTTCATCATTTTCAATTACATCATTATAGTAATAAGAAACCATGTAATAATCTAAATTTCAATATATTAAGAGAGAGCTTGATTAATCGCGCAAAGAATACATTTAAAAATAAATTTCAGAATATGCGGCCTTGTGACATTATAATATTTGCTGCAATCTTTATTTACAAGTATATCGATCTGTGACAAGTAAATTTTTAATAAAAATCACTTTCAGTTTATTTTCGGTAGCAAATTAAAGGACAACCGGATTAACGATCGAATAGATTCACCTACTTATTAATGTAGTTCTATGCAACACTTGATACGAAACGTTAATTATATAAATTTTAATGCACTTTTTAATTCTCTCTCCCTCTCTCTCTCGCTCTCTCTAATCATTTAAAATGGTAGCCATCCCTTACGGTAAAAACATTCAAGTTTTGAGTGTTTTTTTCCGTGAGGGATATGAGAAAAATTGAGGTCTGTCTCACACAAGATGTTTTGATTTTACAAAACACTTTATAGAACAAAATATTACTTTTATTGTTGGTTGGCCTATGCAAGGTAGAAAGTTATGCGAGATATGAAAGGGGACGGACAAGTGAATCGAATGCATGTACGATGCGCTCCTAATGACTCGGAAAGAGTTACACGAGAGGATGTAGACGAGAGGTGTCTTCGTCTTCCATACCACATCTTTCACAGATACCGCGAATGCGGTAAGTAGGTCGCAACGGGACCTGCCTTTCATCCGAGTGTGTCAAGTTTACGCCATCCGTTTTCCTCTCGTGCCGTGCAAGTTTGTAGCTAGTGAAATCGATTCTCCCGTTGCTACGCCAGCGTGGAGCAATATCGACCGCGATTACGGCGGGCACCGACGCGGAAAATGAAGAATAATTAGCGAATAATGTTAGATTTCCTTCGAAATACAATTTCAGGGGACAACGCGTACTTTCGTCCTGTAATGGACACTCGCCGGGCGATTAACAGTTAATTGCGTTCACCCGGCGCCCGAACGGGTCGCTATTAATATTATTATCGAAAGTCGCAAATGATAGATACATTTCTTGCGAGATAGACTCGATTCGAAATCTCCGGCACGGAATGGAAAAATCCTGTTAATCTTACTCGTAACGCACGCGGGAAAAGGAGAAATGTAAAATTACAGAGTTTATCGCGTAACCCAGAAAGTCGCGGTCGCGTGTCTTGGGTCTCGCAAAAAGCGGAAGCGGACGGCTTGCAGCGAGAGAAATGGAGCATGTCAACTTTACAGTGTCCTTTGCGCGGAGCCGCCACTTCCGGAAACGAGTACCCCAGGCGGCCTTATCAGCGGCATTCTCGCGGAGATCTTTCGTCATTGTCGTCCGACGCGCGGATCATCAACCGCCAATCCCGCGGCGAGCCGCGTGATCAGCCGGCATTTATCGCGCTTTCGCTTCTAATCGCCTCCTCGCGTTCTCAAAACTTGTCCCTCGAATCTCAAACTAGTCCTGATCCGATCTGAATTTAGAAAATCTCGTTTGAGACGACGAAGAGGTCGCGTACAACATGCGTACGAACGTCGACTGACCTTCTTGACGAGCGGCTTGCTCGCTTCTTGCGCCAATTCCGTCGCAGATTGCTTTTCATGACTATTATTGTTGTGCAGTTGGCCATTATTGGTCTCTTTTTCGCAGTGGTCGCTAACCTCCTCCACGCCCGCGAGTAGTCTCATCATTCAAGCGACGTGGACCTTTACGAGTGCGGCACCTGCTTCCTGAAAGATATAATGAAGGAAGGATTGTAGACAACCGTTCGTGTGTTGCCCGCGATAGCATTGCTCTCAAACCAGACCTGCCCCAGGGTGTAATTATCGCTTCAAGCACGACAATTTCACAAACGCGTTAGAATGCATTCGAACGGCTAAACTCGGGATTAAGTATATACAAGACCTCTGCATACGTCGAAGAGATATATGTATAAAACGGATAAAGGTACGCATTTCAATATTCATTTTTGCAGGAATTGCACGACAGTCTTCGTCGTGACGCGGCAATTTTTCAAGTTCTCCGCCGTGGCTCGGCAACTTTTTCAATCCAAACGTAATTACAACTTTTCTAGCGTCGTCTAGATTTTGCTGCGTACGTCACTTCCGTAAAAGAGTTTTGCATTTCTATAAAGCCAATTAAAAAATTACTTCTAACAAAGAATGTCGGTAAAACAGACAGCTTTAGGATCCCCTTAAGGTCATCTTTAGATACTCCATAGCCAGTGAAATGTTCCGTACAGCTTCTTTAGATAAATTCAAGACGATCTTGAATACAAGATCCGACCATGAATACCGGTCTAAGACCCGGTTGCACCAACGTCGCTTAATCGTAACCTTAGCTTAATTCACTCTTTATCTCTTTCTAAGGTAAACGGTTAAAAAGAGAGACGAAGAGTGAATTAAATTTAAAATAAAATTAAAGGTAAAATTCCGTGACCTTGGTGCAACCGGGCCTAAGTACGCTAGATTATGGTAATTGCTGCCCACCGGTATCAACAAACGAGACACGTTCCGTTCTTTTTTTAAACAACCGTTTATAAAGAAGATACCAGCTATCGTCACAATTCAAGATATAAGACAGTTTTATCTTTCCGAATGTCGCCGACGAAACGATAAACATTTTCTATATATCACAATCGGTAAAATGCGGGACGCATACAGCTTCTTTAGATAAATTCAAGACGGCCTTGATCATCGATGTTCACCACAGTGCAGAATTATATCGCTCGTCTTCATTCTCGATTGTTCGCGCGACGATAAACGGTCCATTGTATCGCACGGGAATCGACGCAGTTTACGCCTTGCGTATCGACGGAAAGAAAAGTAAAATTTTTCTTTATCGAGACAATGCCCGGCACGTTTCCTAGAACCCCAACTAGAAATACGAGTTTGATAAGTAAGGTGACGTCGACATATACGTAACTTTCTCGAGAAAGGCGATTGCCCCGCGTGCGTACGGAAAGCAAGCGAGTAACCGTCGTAAGCAGCGGAATGCTTTCTTACGTGACGAGTAACCGTCTAATTGGAAGTGAATTTTATTTGCAGTTGCACAAAGAAGCGGTATACATTGTTACGGCAGTTAAGCGGGATGAAACCTGCACGAAGGCCCGCGCGAGGGGGAAAATCAGCGTGGTGCGTCTTGACTTTCGTGCGCCGCGCGCGAAATCGACCGATTAGAAATCTCGCGGTCGAGCCGAAAAGAATAATTCGGGCCGGCCGTCTTACGAGTTTCTCACTCGCCGATCGAATAAGAAGCGACATTGTATTCGGTTAAATGCCGCACAATGTCGGAAGCGAAAAAGCTCGCGGCTCGCAATGTCCCAGTTGTCTTTTTACCCGAGCTCGACGCGTGAGAGGAGGAGATTTCTGTTCACTCTCTCTGCGTCACGCGGCTACGTCTAATCTGCGAGAAAGTCGAAGGCGCACTTTGGAATCCGTTGAGATCGTACGTCTACACCCGGTGAAAAGTACGATTGCACTGTATTTTCACCGCTATATATACGAGCAGGAAGTATAATAACCGGGGGCATAATCGCGTAACGATTTGCATCGAAATTTTTCCCTTTTCGAAAATAAACCCCGATGTACGTTTTACCGATACATCCCACTGATATTTCATTGACACAATTTGCAAAATAAATATGTTAACTAACCGACGCGAAAATGATAATTTATCCTGCATGAATTGCGGCCGTGAGAGCTGCACATGTAGACAATGCGCGGTCAGCCGTTCTTTTATTTAAACATTAAGCTCCGTGCGAGAGAAAACTAGATTGTAACTCGCGATCGAAGTAACGTGAACGTACTTCCGGTATCGCGAATAAATAAATATGCGTTAGGCAATTAAATAGATAATCATTTTAACGTAGCGTTTTTTTTTTATGGAAGAAGTAGAAAGTTTTCTATAATAACCGCCAGCCAGTTGCCACAAACACAGTATCGTTTTGACGAACAGGAATCTTATCTTTACGTTGATTCGCAAAGAGTAATCGCGTGAATTGCCGTACAATGGACGTTATATTGTCATCGTGCGAACAATTAAGAACAAAGGCAAACGATATCACGTAACATAATTCCGCACATTAACGAGTAGATCAACGTTAACACTCGTTCATCGAATTAGGAAATTTTCCAAACAGCACGTATGTCTAAAAGACATCTTTAAGGCCGGTATTCATAGTCGATTCTTATTTCAAAATCATCTTAAGTGTTGTCTTAAGAGGCTAATACGGCTCTGTGATTGGTTAAAAACACATTAAGAGTACACTTAAGATGATCTTAAATGTAAGAACGGACTATGAATACCGGCCTAAAACGTCTTTTAGACATGCGTGCCGCACGGGTTGGCTCTAGTGGACAAAACCCATCGTTAAATACAAATAAATACGTGCGCATTAGCTTAAATGGATATTATATGTACGTTGAAATTTTCTCAATTGATTAAGAGGTCAGAAGATTCGTTTGTAACGTTCCACGTTTCTAATTAGTAATATATTGTTTTACTCGCACATCACGCATTGTTTACTATTCGCGAATTGATAACGATTTAGACCATAATAGCGCGTTTGACGTGTACACTACGTGTATATCATTATTCAGTAGGTCAAGCTAACGACCCGTAAAGACGCCAGTTGTTAAACTTGCCTGGCAGACACGATTGCCACCTCTTCTCCCGACGTGCAGGACAAAGTCTCGTTATTGTCGTAAAGCCGAAAGTAAGTTGACATTGAGGGTGCGTTCGGGGAGCTCACTATCAGTGCTATTTAGCGCTGATAGCGCCATTCTATCCTCGTTGCTCATTACGCGTCAAAGAAAAATAGATGTCATTTTCAGTGTTAATCGAGAGTCCCGCGAACGTACCTGAATCCATCGAGGTGATCCTGTGGCAACATTGCCGCGAGATTCGTTTATCGGTACTTTGTTTAATTAACTTCGCTCCAGAATGTATCTTGAATACATACACTGACAAAATAATTTACTTGAAACTATTTTTTTTTACTGAAGTAAATATTCGTTTTATTTAAATAAAAATATCAAATTTCAAGTAAATCTATGTATTATATTAATGGAAATCACTACATTTTCTACATTCAAATAGAGATTTCATGAGATATGCAATAGAATACTATTTATTAAATGAAATAATTGTTTTTGTTAAATAACAAATCCAATTTTTTTCGCTGCAAAAATTGCATCTTAGGAAACATTTCATAGAATTGAAATACAATTTTTTAAATTAAAAATTATCTATTCTTTGATATTTAATAAATACTTAAATTAAAGCCATGCATGTTTTAATTTGTTTATTATTTTTTTAAATTTAAGTTAATAAGCTATTAGAAGCCATAGAAGCCATCTACTGAATAATTTTCTGGAGTAAAGTAATATTTTTTTGGATAAAAATATTTTTTATCAATATACAAAATTGAGCGAAGCTTATTGTCGCCAATAGTAATCAAACAAAGGGAACATTTTTTAAAAAGACGACTGGCAAAAAGTGATCTTAGTTTAAGTCACAACGTTTCGACCTCCTTATCGGGTCCTTTTCAATCTAATGCTGACTGAAAAAATTCATTTATGCCCTCATTCTGTTTCGGCATACAAAGATCACTTTTTGCCAGTCGACTTTTTAAAAAATTTTCCCTTTGCTGAATGCGTACGCTTGAGCGCGGACGCGGGTTCTGTCAGTGCAGATCGGGAATCACCTGTTCCCGCGTCTTACCGATTGTGATATACAGAAAAAGTTGATCGTTTCGTCGGCGACATTCGGAAAGATAAAACTGTCTTATATTTCAAATTGTGACGATGGCTGGTATCTTCTTTATAAACGTTTGTTTAGAAAAAGAACAGCACGTGTCTCGTTTGTCGATACCGGTGGGCAGCAATTACCATAATTCAGTGGACTTAGGCCCGGTTGCACATAGGTCACGGAATTTTACCTTTAGTTTAATTCACTCTTCGTCTCTTTTTTAACCGTTTACCTTAGAAAGAGATAAAGAGTGAATTAAGCTAAGGTTGCGATTAAGCGACGTTGGTGCAACCGGGTCTTAGACCGGTATTCATAGTCGGATCTTGTATTCAAGATCGTCTTGAATTTATCTAAAGATGCTGTGTGGAACATTTCATTGGCTATGGAGTATCTAAAGATGATCTTGAAACAGTCTCGAGTATAAGACCTGACCATGAGTACCGGCCTTATTTTTATCAACGACAAGTTTTCAAGTACGAAATGCCAACTCCGAACCGGTACTTTTTCACTAGAGCGAGTTTCGCTGGACGTTAGAAATGAAATTCCGCGCCAATGCTATCTCAGATACGAATAAAGCGAACTATGATCCCCGTCGAGTGCAATTCCACACGTGGCACGCAATTTTCTTTTTTTACAAACGACGGCTGAATCATTTTTGCATAATACACAGCGAGGCAGCTGCGCGACCACTTTGCGCGATGCGCGGAGCAAGGAATCCCGAAAGCGGCGCTCGGTTAGCGCAATCGCATCCAAAAGCGCGACCACGTACCTCGCGCTGCGGAGCCGGCGATCGACGATCTTGCGGGCGGTCGTGGAAACGGAGAGTCATCGACGTCCCTCGTGGCCGGACGCCTACCGGCGACGCAACGCGATTTGATCGACCGCACCGAGCGCGCCGAGCAGAGCACTGGCGGTGAGCGAGGCAGCGGCGGCGACGAGGACGACGACGACGACTAGCCAGGGTCGCTTCCGACGTGCGGCCCGCGTGAGGAGCACATGCTCGGGGGGATCAACAGCCCCCCCCTGGACACGCGAGGCACACAAAGGGGGGACGCGCGCGCGCTGGTACTTTCACTGCTCGGACGGCGAGCGCCCGTCCGGTTCTCCTCGGGATCGGCCGATCACCAGGTGGTGGCCTTCGATACCGCGACACGTACCCGCGTCTCGCAACAGCCTCGCACGGCACGGAGATGCGCGGTAATTAAAAATTATTCCTCGGCTCACCTTTTTATCGCCGACGCATATATCTATGCCAACCCCAGCGGCACAGTGCGTCGGCTGAACAGTGGCTAAACATTGGCCCAACGTTGATTGTAGTAGAAACGCATTGGCCGACATTGTACAACGTAAAGCCAATATTGGAACAAATATCAATATTGCACGATAATAATTATATAATGTTAGATTTACATTGAAAGTGCACACTGGCCATTTAACAATGTAATAAGAATATTGATCCAATATTGACGCAATATTAAACCAATATTGCTAAATAGACATATTGGCTAAGCAGGAGAAGGCGGCCATCTTACAATATTGGAGCAACATTGGGAATACGAGAAATCGCACGTGATCTAATGCAATCTGATTATGATCTAATATTCTAAAAATAGAAAAGAAAGCACGTTGTAAAAATCCGCATAATCCTGTTTGCGTGAAATTGCCCCGGGTAACGAGCGAAAAGTAATTTCTGAATTCAACGTATCGCTGCGAGTGGCGCGTTTCTATTCAGTCTCGATTATAATTTTAAGCGCTTGAGTCGCCATCGCTTTCGAGCGCGAAAAAGTTTCTTCGTCGAAAGCGCGACGGCCGCGCGTATAAAAGTTTCAGGAGCGCGCGACGTCGGTCGCGCGTTACTTTCACGTAGGTCACACCGTTCTCGCTGACACTGACGAATTGGGAAAGACGCGTGGGCCAAGACCGCTTTCGAACGCGAGAGATTCCACGTCGATACAATGTTTTTGCGGCCGCGGCACGAATCCTCGGTTACGCGGCTTGTACGACGGGAAATATGATGACTGTATAACGCGAAACGTGACCGGCGAGTATCGCGATACTCGATCCCGCTTATCGTCCGCATGCCCGCGAGGAAGAGAAAAAGAGAGCTCCGACGAGAGTGATTCTTTACCTTATCATCATGTGGACTTTATTATATAAAGGGCTAATGCTAAAATGTACACAAGATAAGTTATTAAAAATGTTCATTATTGCGGTAGTAATAATTAATTATACACATGAATAGTCATCTTCTACTAGAGAGTGAACGATGATCAATTGTTTTTTTTTCTTCTTTTTCAGTTTTCCTTCGAGGACTATACCCTTTAAATACCAGATTCGACGCGTTTACTCGTAATTAAATTACAGCAGATACACGGTCGTATGAGACAAGGTCGGCGTAAACAGCGGGCCGCCGCATTACATACTAATCGATTTGTCTTCTCTAGGTTTCCTTTAGTCGCCCCATCAGCTTGCCATATCTTATAAAGCACCGATTACATCGAGACGCTTTCGCTCTAACGCGCGCTTTACACATGGTTCGCAAGACATAATCGTTTTTTTTTTACTTACGCACTAATTAAGTAATCGTAATCTTTCCTTTTAAATGACGTGTCAGATTTTATTTATATCTATGATTAGAAGCCAAAAAACACACTGCTAGCACCATCGGACAGTGCAATTATGTAGTTTCATATATTCTTAAACGAGCTATCGCGCTGAATGACATTCCGCAATTTAACGATACAATTTGTTCACTTTGCATACAGCTAGGTTTTTAAGAAATAATATGTAATCACATCGCTTTGCCCTTACAGCCACAATATATCGGGGGATACAATATTGTAGTCGCAACGTTTAAATAACAGATTCTATTTAAGTCTATCGTTCTCGTCCGGCAATGGACAGTACGGTCGCGCGTCGCAAGTGTCACGACGTTTATATTGTGGATGAAAGGAAAAACATCATGGTGTCACAAAAACCTAAATGATAATAAAAAAAAGAAAAGCGCTGCTTAAAGAAACGTCTGCACGCAAAACAGCAGTAAAAGTATTGATGCGAGTAAAATAGCGCCACGAGCGGACGACGAGTAGCGCGAATTCCCGATTCGCAAAACGCGACGCACAAACTTAATAGCGTGCACTTATGCACTACAATGCAAAACGAGTCGCCGAGATTTTGGCAATCCGGTGGCGATCTCCTCGCATCGTCGACACGTATTCGTCGCCTAATTTACAAGGCGATCCGTATATAAATTTAAATAATCGGAATTGTGTTCTCCCTCGCGTCATTTATCGACAAAACGACCGCTTCCCGTAATCGGCGTAAAGCCGAAAAGGATGACACGAGTGATCCGCAGGCTTCCAATAAATTACGTAGCGAACCTCTCACAGGCCGTACTCCAGGTATGAGACAATACTTAATCCGGCGTCCGCAGATACTTCCGATTACTTAAAGTTGCACGGTTGCCACTTGCCGATTAACGATATGCATAATTAAATTACTACACACACACACAGGAACCAAAAGCACAGATTTCGAGTTACTCGTAGAATTTGTCAGGTATAAGGAATTTTAATAATTGAACAAAGCATACACGTACAGTTTCAGTAATATTTATATATATATAGCCCAGTCTTACAAAAGAGTGACCACATCGTTTCAAGGGACGGGCAAACATTGCTCACTTGCGTTAAGACTAACAATCGATGTGCTGTCAGTTCAAGGTTTCGAGTTTCACTGAAGAAAGTAGGTATCGTAAATGTTACAAGTAATTATTACAAGCACATTAATTAGAAACCAATCTATTAGATTCAAATACAAATCCTACTTTCACTCTCCTATATGTTACTTCCATTTTTTTTTTATTCATGAAAAACAAAGCGGACATGTGTTGTCTGATTCGGTATATATAATGCTGGGTGACCACCTTCAAAATTGCCTCGACTGCCATTGCGGCAACTATCCGCGGACTTTCTGAACCGCGACAAGTTCAGATCGATCACGTTTGCCTGAGGATTCCTCGGGCCCGAATACCGGCTTAAGTTTAAAAGTATACGAGCCATAGCTAATTTCAATCGGTGCTGATGCGTAAGTGGCAATAGGCTGGGGCTGTTTCTTGGTGGTGTTTGGATGTTGAAGTCAATGGAGATTGGCGCATCACATGGCATACTTGCGCGTCCATTCGCGTGCCAATTCATTATACTTCTCCCTGTCGGTTTTGTATATCCTGGCTATTTCTGGTACCAATGGGTCATCTGGATTTGGATCGCACAGCAAGGAGCATATTGACAGTAACACTGTAAGATGATCGACAATGTTAATAACGTTAAATCCAACGAAACCTGTATCTTTCCGAACGCACGTCCTATAAAATACGTACCCTTTGATATAGTGAGTGCGGGAGACCATTGAGATCGTAAGATATCCAAACAAATACTTCCATTACTGTTGATATTGGGATGATAGATTCTAGTCGTGAATGCGACCTGTGAACAAATGCCGAATATTTATTTGCGTCTTCTGTATCTGCCAGGTGGAGTTCAACATTTTGCCTGTGCAACGTGGCGTACCTTAGGTGGTTTAAACGGGTAATCTGTTGGAAAGTGTATTGTTAGGAAAAATACTCCTCCTTGATACGGACTGTCCGGCTGCAAGAGAAAATCAAGATATATAATAGTGTATCGAGAAATATTAGTTATTCTACAATGAAACTCTACGTGTCGACTCTTGATGGTCGTGTATTTATCAGCGGTACATAAAAAAAATTGTGAAAATGCTAAGTATACAATGTATAATCACCGGAAATTCAATATCTTTCTATCATTTGATACCAAGAGATATTATGCAGTTGATAAAATTATATAAAGAAATTCAGATATAGAGAAATGTTAAAAATCTGCATAAGTAATGTATCACTTACTGGTCCCATGATTGTTGCCTGCCAGTGGAATACTGGAAAATATTAGGTTAAACGATTACATGCAAATTGTTGTTAAATCATGATGTAACTTATACGTCTACTTTAACGACACGTTAACAAATGAATATATCAGTTCTCTCTAATTAAAAAGAATCCAAATAAATCTTTCAAATAATCCGAAATCAAGCTGCGGCTTCGAGTTTGTAATGTACAACTCAACTGTAATATTAATATACTATATTTACATTATGCCAAGTGTTTGCTTATCGCAAACTCGATACTCACAATCGTCTCCTACAGGTCCAGCCGAGCATTGTGCTGGTGGATCTCTACCGAGGTCCTGAAGTTCCTGGAATTATAAAAGCAGATAATAAGTACAAAGTTCCGAAACATCTCGCACAAAGTATTCGTTGATATCTAGATTAAGAGAAATAAAATTGTACGTAGCGTCTCGCAAATACTTCAGTTGACTAGAATGGCAATTTATACTTGAGAATAAGCAGAAGCCTATGTGAGTTTCAACATATCCTACTGCAACAATTTCAATCGTACGTCACGCTATTGTTCTATAAGAGGCTTCGGTATTTATAAACACATATACATAATTTGACATTCTCTCGCCGATAGACCTATGTATAAACCTAGATAACTCGTGTGTGTGTATATACAATAATACAAAGACGGGATGTTAATCGTGGACAATTTCCAAGACAAAGTCGATTCGTTGCTTGCGCAACCGCGTCTACAATGTAACAAAGACCAGAGTTACGTTAACTACGGTATATTACATAGCTCCGGTGCATCGTCCCGTACAATTCTATCGTACTCTCTATCGTTATCGATATCGTCGCGACGCCGTCGACAGTTCCAGCCTCTCGCTGGACTTTGCAGCCTCGCTCGCCCGGTCCTCCGCTACGTGACACAGTCCATTCAGTTATACGAGTGAAACGCTACTGGCACTCACATGGTGGAGAGGCACCGCGTCGAGCGACTCACTTTACGCACGGCGAGGCTTTCACAGCGGGCCACTGGAGTAGTCGCGGGCACCACGAGGCCAAGGGACACAAAGGAGCGGCGAGGAAGCCAGCGTGTGCCGGCGGATGGGCGCGCGCGCGCGCGCGCGCGTACGCCGGCGACACGTCGCGCGTCGCTCGCGGAGACGTCGCGGAGCACGAGCACACAGAGTCCCCCGTCCGGGTTCTCGCTGTCAGCGACGGCCGGGCCCGGGCGGAGCAGGGCGTCGAGGGTCCGCGCGGCTCCTGGACGCGAGGGCGCGCGCGCTCGCGACGCCGATATCGCGCTCGGCGTCGGCGAGGAGGCCGTGCCACCAGCGCCTCGGCGTCGACTCCTCCGACGCTCGCACACGCCGCCGCGCTTGTTCCTCGCCACCAGCTCACGACGGGCGACAGAGAGAGACGGAGAGAGACAGGAGAGAGAGAGAGATCGTTAAGGGGCGTACGGCCGGACGCGGCGCACGACAACGCCCGGCCGCGCGGCCACGCGGCACCGACGCCCACCGGCCTCCACGTACCTTATTAATTCGCTTTAAAGCCATTTGACGAACTGTGTGTTGATATTAACTGGCCGCAAAACCAGACAGCGATACCCCGCTTGCCGTGGATCTTTGATTAGGGATTGCAAGATGGCTGCCTTCTAAACGTAGCCCGACTGCGCTGGTCAAGCGCGCTGTCCGCGCACACGGCGAGCACGCGACGCGTCACACGTATGTACCGCGGTACGTCCGCACGCGCGCAGCCCGACGGAATTACACGGGTTGTCTCCTCTCTCACGCGGCGAGTCCGGCGAGTGCGCGCTACGCGCAACGTGTATTTTTATCGCGACGTACTTTTTCGACCGCGCGCCGGGGGCCTTTCGATCTCCGCACGGGCCACCGTGGATTTCCTTTTATCGGCAATCGCCCGATTCCCAGCGCACGCGCACCCCCGCCGGCAGATGGCGCGGCGGGACGCGATCCGGTTCGATTCCGTTCCGCTCCGTCCCGTCCCGTCCCGTTCCGTTCCGTTCCGTTGCGGCGCCGCGCGTCCCGCCAGCGGCCGCGGCACACGCACATCGTGCGGGATGCACACGGTGCCCTGCCGCCCTGCCGCTGCCCGCCGTTGCCTGCTGCCGGGCACGCGGAAGCGACCGATCCCCCGGGATCGCGTGCGCGCGCAGGGGGAGGAAAGCGTACCACTTTTTCTCCTTCCCCTGCCTTTCCCCGAGTGACTACTTTTCAGCGGCGTGCGAGGTGTCTCGGCGCGTCCAGGTCGGAACGGAGGAGGAATGACCTTGCCCACTTATTGCTTGTCATTGTAGCGAATGTTCCAGTAGGATTACTCATGCTCGCGTGCGTGCCGCGGGGATATTGTCATGCCTTCTGACGAGGAGCGTGACGAGATACGTTTCGCGAGGAGGCAACAATCGGTCGAGGTTAAAGCCTAATCTACAATGTATAATACTTTCTGCATCTAGAAACATTCTATTTTATGTAAACAAATCAAAACGCTTAACAAACTTGTCGACAATTTACGATTGTACAATGTATAATGCACAATTTATCAACTTGCCCAAATTTTGTAAACGTATTTATTGACTGTGTCCAGCAGAAGTTGGCGCTTGCTAAGCGCTTTGCGCTCATTGGATTATACTTTCAGATCTGTGCTGAAATAGAGCTATTCTTCTAGATCTGTCCAATCAGCATAAAGCGCTTATTAAGCGCTAACTTCTGCTGAACACAGCCATTGGCTAGGAAATAGAATGTTTCCAGACGCAAAGGACACATTGTAGATTAGCCTTTAGACCTGTTCTCGTCGGAACGATGTCTCGAATCTGACGGGGCGATGATAGAAGCGACGTGCGGCCACTCCAGCTCGTTTCCACACTGAGAACAATTTTCATCGGATAAACCAATTAAATAGCGTTTCCGATGGTGAATTTTTCAAATTGTGGACACGTCCGATGAAATTCGATTGAAAAACCGATCGCATATTTCATCGGATATATCCGTTTGTTATTATGTAGCTGGATTATCCGATTATATTTAATCGGACATTGTTCTCAGTGTACCAATGCGGATTAACTTCGATTTCGGTTCAACCCACTTTTCATCTCTTTCTAATTTCAGGAAAAGGATAAAAGATTCAAATTGGTCTGCATCGGTAGAAATGATCGCGACTCCAGTCGGGTTTTCGCCGAGGGAAAAATCCTCCGGGCCAAGGAGAGGAAACGTTTAGCGTTTTTTACTTCCTCGTGGCGCCATTGCGACACACCGGTAGCGCCGAGAGCGTCACGCATGTGGCGCAGGTTGCTTTAAGATAATGACGTACTTGCGAGGCCTTCTCGATAAATGTATAGTATGACGTAACGAAACGCCGCGAGAGTGTCGATTACAAAAGTTGACTTACAATTATTTAATTATAACGAATATGTAATGTTACGGCGCGCCAACAAATTCATGAGAAACATTTTCACCAGGGGTAAAATTGAGTTCAAACATGAGACTCGATGCGTACACTGAGAAAAATGTCCGATTGAATATAATCGGATAATCCAATTGCATGATAACAAACGGATATACCGATGAAAAATTTCGATTTTTCAATCAAATTTCATCGGTAATTGCATTTCATCGGATAAATTTCATCGGATATATCCATAATTTAATCGGAAAACGTAATCGGAAAAATTAACCATCGGACATACTATTTAATTGGTTTATCCGATGAAAATTTTTCTCAGTGTAGTAATTTGATAATACACACGTCCACTGTACGTAGAATTGGCGTACGACAAATGTAACGGCCCATGTAGCCGACAAACAATGTTGGACTAATAAACAAACAAGTCTATCGCGTCCACGTTCACGCCGATCGCACCCTTCACCCTCGCGACATGGGGTTGGAAAGATAAAGAAAAGGCCGCAAATCGACGAGTGTACAAAGCCGACGGCCACGTGGGGGAGAGCGCGCTATGCCGGGCACGGTGAGGCGCGGCGGGCTGCAACAGCTGTGCACGTGCCGCGTCAAGGTATACGTGCATCGGAGGAAACGGACCAAGGACCGCTGCAGGAAGAAGCGGCAGGCCTTCGTGTACAATCCGGAAGAGGAGATCTGGCACGAGCCCTACATGCAGGCGCTCCGCCGCGAGTTCTCGGACGAGTCCATGCTGTGCGACTCCAAGATCGAGCTGCCGTGGCGGGACATCGCCCTGCCGACGGCGGGCATGAGGATTCGTTCCGAGTTGTCCGCCGCGACGGCCGTCCGTGAGGCAGACGAGGCCGAGACGGAGACCGTCGGTGGCGAAAGTCAACGGCGGGAGTCGAGCGGCGCCATGGTGTTACCGTGGAAGGATCTGCTCATCGCGGAGACCCAGTGGAGCGCGCCGGACGACCCGAGCGCTTGCGACTCCGCGCTGGAGATACCTTGGGCCGACCTGGTCCTGGAGAAGCCGATGGCGATCGGCCCGCCGAGGGAGGAGCGGACCTGCGCGACCGACGACGTCGAGATCCCCTGGGACGAGATCCTGGTGCCGCGCAACATCGTCATCGAGCCCGAGAGGAAGCGGAGGCACCCCTCGTCCGATCGACCGCCGCGCCCGCGGCTCGACGCGCCGTGCCTCGCCTGCGGCACGCCTACCTGCTGCGCGAGAGTCCGTGCGAACACGCGCTCCAAGGGCCACGGGAGATCGCACGCGAACGTCGCGGACCCCACTTGGACCCTCACCTGCATGTAGAGCTGCGCGTAAACGCCTGTCTGTTGAATAAATCCGCCGATTCGATTAAATGTCAACCTCCCGACCCGAAAAAGTTGCGCTTTATTATTGATGCTGCCCTAGTAGCACGGTGCATTGGCTAAACATTGGCTAAATATTGATCCAATGTTGGTTATATTAGAAACGCGTTGGCCGACATTGTCCAACGTAAAGCCAATATTGACTGTGGAAGAAATGTAAATGTTGCACGATAACAATTATATAATGTTAGATTTATATTGGCCAGTATTTAACCATGTAATAAGAATATTGCTAAATAGACATATTGGCTAAATAAGAGAAGTCCATCTTACAATATGGGACCAATATTGGAAATACTAGATTTACATTATTTACCAATATATTGCACCAATATTGTGCTACTGGAGAAATTTATTGAATTACTCAATAATAAGTGATATTAGAAATGCATTGGCCGATATTGTCCAACGTAAAGCCAATATTGGCTACGGAAGAAATTAAATATTGCACGATAATAATTATATAATATTAGATTTATATTGGAAGTGCATTGGCTAATATTAAAAATGTAATAAGAATATTGTTAAATAGACACATTGGTTAAATAAGAGAGGTCCATCTTACAATATTGGACCAATATTGGAAAGACTAGATTTGCATTATTTCCCAATATTGCGCCAACATATTGTGCTACTAGGGTGTTTTTCCCGAGCAATTTCGCTCGTTTTGCCAGGAGCTGCGACGTTTAAGATTAATCTACAATATCCCGTGTCGATTGACATCGTTTCGACGAACCATTTCTCACTGCTGTTCGCAATTGGAAACACTCTAGTTTGTGTAAACAAATCGATCCGCTTAAAAAATTTCTGTAAACGTGTAATGTACAATTTGTCAACTCGCAGAAATTTTTAAACGCGTTTATTGGCTGCAAAATGGAGTGTTCCTAGAGCACGTTGTAGATCGGGCATTACATTCGGACGTTTTGTAAAGGAGGAGCGATACTGTTAATTCAAAGACACGCGCCGATACGCGAATTCGCACGTCGTAAAAATTGCCGAGAAAGAATCCGATTTGCATTTCGAAACCTTGATCCGTTCGTTTCGCTCGCCGGATCTTGCGTTACCAGATGATTATCTTTTTCGAAATCCTTACGGTGTTAACGTAATAGAGAAAAGCAAAGACCTTGAGGAGGCGCGGTTTGAGAATGCTCTTCGAAACAGAACGGCCCGTACTCTGAATCCTCATTTATCGATAAAAAACGCTTTTAGAAGTGGCTCGTCCAAGCCAATCAGAAGGCTTATTAGCCATTTTTAGAAGCGCTGTTATTGATAAAAGAGGATTCGGAATACGGGCCAACGAATTTATTTATCGCGAAACGACGGAATTTTCATCGCGAGAGGTCAAACGTCTATTTACGAGGCGACTGTGGAAATGACGGTATCGATTAAACGCGAGAGCTGCGTAATTTGTTTACCGTTTAATGAAATCAGTGAAAAAGAAAATATTTTCCCTCTACCCGCCCGCGATCGACTTTACCGACGGGATGAAAGCCGGCGGCCGCGAAGTCGGTGGCGCCGTCGCCGCCGCGCGCTTCGGCAGCCATCGGCTCCGCTCGGCTCTCGTGATCTGCCGCCGCCGCCGCCGCCGCGCCGCCGCGGCGCCCAGTCGGCACTTGTCAGCGTACGCGCACGGTCGGTTCCTCGCGCGGGCACGCGCGACAGAGAGAGAGGTGCAGCGAGACCGCGAGCGTCGTGCGCGCAAGCGAAAATGGCGTAGTGCCCGAGCGCGAGTGTGTCGTCGTTACCGCTTTCCGCGTCTACGGAGCGAACAGCGCGCGAGGCCGCCGCCGCCTGGAAACGCCAGTCGTGTCCCGCGACCGGTCGAGCTTCTTCCCCCGCGGGGACGATCGAGCGAGGAGTGCGCGCCATGATCGGGTCGGGACGACGAACCCGGCGACGTCGTTGAAGGTGATACTTGATGCAGTGTGTACCCCGAGTGTGCTCCGGTGAGTCGCGCGCACGTCGAGACACGGGAATCCCGACGGTCGGCGTCTCCGCCGTCGCCGCCGTCGCCGTCGCCGTCGCCGTCCGCCGAGCGACGACGCTGACGCGAACGACCTGAACGTCGCGACGCGACGTGACGTGACGTAACGTAACGCGGCGCGGCGTGGCGCGGCGCGACGTGACGGGTGACACGCGTGCACGCGAGCATCCCGGCGCCGCGACGTGCATGAACCCGGAGAGGGCGGAGGACGAGGGATGGCCCGCGCGGCCCCAGCTAGGATTCGGTGATCCCGCCAGCTCGTGACAGTTGGACGACTCGCTCCGGTCCGGGCGAGATCGAGATGGCGCCACCGGCGTTTTGACACTTGCCGAAGGACGAGCCGTCAGCTGGACTTCACCGCCGCCCGCAGGCGATCCGTCTATTATGAGCAGAGAATTCTACGTACCCTGCACGCCTTACGTCTATCAGGTGAGACTATTTTCTTCCTCGCCCCCCCCCCATCCCCCTCCCCTCTCGTTTCAGTCGCGTCCCTCGAGCTCTCCGGGTCAATTTTGTATCTTACGATGTAGTGAAAATGCTGGGAGTCAATAGCTTTGTCTCTTTCTAACCGTTTAAAGAACTACAAAGCCGCTCGCTCTTAGCATTTTTAATATATTGAATTTCGACCCCCTGGTCACGCTTCGGCAGTTTTGCGCCGCTTCGGTTCTCGCTCTCGAAAAGATTCGGTGTTTTCGACTCGTTCCTCGCTCGAGATTCGAAAACGAGGCCGCGTCGACGAGGAGTTTTTTTAAGCGTCGATGGTTAGTTTACGTCAGGGAGAGCCAATGATACTCGGGCTGTGCGCCTTGCGAAGGAAAACAAATGGGAAACGTAGATAAACATGAATTTTTTTTTACGACGTTTAATTACATACCGCACGATAGTCACGCGTGCGATGGTGTCATAGACGCGGGCCTCGGAATGTACTCGTTTTCAACCCTCGTGAAGGCTGCTCGCAGACGTCTCTTGACTTGTATCGCAGTTCCCCGTTAAAATATATTGTCACGAGTGCTGCTGCATCTCGCGACCGTCGAGTCTCTCTGTCGCTCGAAATTATCGCGACGAAAGACATTAGTTATTATTCACCTCGACTTGCCGCGCAAATGATAATAGATGCCGAGGGATAAACCGCTGAGGGCATCGTGGTGTACAGATTTGCGGCATTACTTATCATTACGAGGCATTTTTTCGGCATCAGGTCTTCAACCACAGAAAAAATGTCCGGATCCAATGCTATTACGCTTGAATGTATCATAAAATAGGATCGATATAGCGTCAATCATATTTATTATAGAGAGGAGAATATTTTAATTTTAAATAAGAAATTGTAAAATCTAGAACCGTCTTTTGTCGAATATCGTGCTGCCAACTTGGTGCGTTGTAAGATGGAGGGAAAATTTATTCTAAACGCAAGAATACATAAAACTTACATTTATTTAATTGCTCTTGTCTCAATATAGTAAGGCAATCTTTTTTAATTCGAAGGAGGAGAATAAGAATTGTTGATTTTATTTTTATATCGTCTTATTTTTATACTGAACGAGGTTGTGAGAAATAGAAATGCATCAAAAATATTTTTTGTCTCGGAAATTCTCTCTGAAGATGCGTGAATTTATTGCTCTTGGAGCGAAATCTGTTTAGTGGAAAATTTATTGTTAGATCGTGTAATCGTTGCGAGTAAAGATTTGTCATTAAATTTTAATGTTGAAAACCTGCTATCTCATAGTAGAAGCCTATCTCATAATAGAGGACGTTCCTCTATTAGTTTCACAATTTTTCTCGCATACACACCCACAGAAAAATTTCCGGATCCAATGCTGTTACGCTTGAATGTATCATAAAATAGGATCGAAATAGCGTCAATCATATTTATTATAGAGAGGAGAATATTTTAATTTTAAATGAGAAATTGTAAAATCTAGAATCGCCTTTTGTCGAATATCGTGGTGCCAACTTCGAGGTTGTAAGATGGAGGGAAAATTTATTCTAAACGCAAGAATTCATAAACTTACATTTATACAAGTTACTCTTGTCTCAATATAGTAAGTTAATCTTTTTTAATTTGAGGAGAATAATTGATTTTATTTCGATATCGTCTTATTTTTATACTAAACGAGGTTGTGAGAAATAGAAATGCATCAAGAATAGTTTTTGTCTCGGTAACAGAAATCCTTTCTGAGGGTGTAAAAATAAAATAAGATAATAAGATAAATGCCCATTGGTCATTAGTGGGCATCGGGGTGCATGATTCTGGTCAGCGGTTTGCCCCTCGACAGACGCCGGCCAATTCGTTTGTACCGCGCAGTTTCGCGTTAAAATAAAAATATATCTGGTTTACGACGTCGAGTCTCCCCGTCATTTGAAACTATCGCGTCGAAAGACGCGTAAGACATCACGTATGCAATATCATCCGAGCTCCGCCGTAACAAATTGTGAATCGCGCGCTCTGAGAAGACGCGTATCTCATTATTTTTTTGCAATTTAAAGCCCTGCGACTTATCGTAACTTGAACGTACGCGTTTAATATATCTGCATTACGATGCAACTGATAATAACGAACAAAAGCCGATCGACCGGCCGCAAGCGGTCGATATCGAGAGGTGCGACGTTCAAATTGATAAGTGGGATCGTACCGGTGATTTGCCTCCCCTGTTATCGACGATATGATTCAGATATGAGTAACACCGCAAACAGGGAGGCCTCGAAGAGTTCGGACACACCGAAACCTCGGGACCCCGCGAATCGTAGAAATTCCGATGAGAAATCGCTTTTCTCCGCAATGAAGCAGAAGGTGAGAAAATGATATCTAGAAGGTTGACAAGGCCCGGTTTTTCCAACGTCGCTTAACTTTGACTTTGGTTTAGCTCGTTCTTTGTTCCTTCACGGAGAGAATTTTCTCTTAAAATTTATCCTGGAAATCATACGATCTGTAAACTGAGAAAAATGCCCGATTAAATATAATCGGATAATCCAATTATACATATAACCACAAACGGATATATCCGATTAAATTTTATATTCGAT